TGGCAACACGAACCAAAGTTGCCGTGCCGCGCCGGCAGCGTAAGGCGTGTGTAAGAAGCCTGTGATACGTTTAATTTCTGCTACCACTCTGGTGGAAAAGCCAGCCACCCCCCCCTCCCCCACACACCCACACACACACACTCACACACACACTCACACACACTCACACACACAGACACACACACACACAGACACACACACACACGTTGGCGCAGAGATGCACTTGCCAGTGTCCTGTGGCTGCAGACCGATGAAACGAAACGTCTCGCGCCACTGTCTACGCGAAGTCTCCCTGACCCATTGACCCCCAAAGTGGCCTCCCGTGCAGCCAAGAACCCGATCAGTGGACATCGATCAGCGGCGGGCTTCTCTATAAGCAGATGTTCTACATATCCACTGCGTCTCTGGCTTCCAGGAAAGAGAACCCGAAAGCTCGAGACGCAGTGGATATGAGTACATATATGTCTACATCCATCGATGCATATACATATATATATATATATATATATATGTATATATGTAAATGTATACGTATATGTATATCTCTCTATATATATATATACGTCTTGCCAGCATCCCGGGGTCCAAGGCTGGCCATGGGCAGGGCTCAAAAGAGGGTGAAACCTTTGCGCTGCCGCCAGGCAGGTCCTCAAGATGCACTGGGTACTGGCAGACCCTGGACGGCGTCCAAGACGGCGACGACGACGACGACGACGACGACGACGACGACGCCATTACGGTCCAGGAGGCCGGCCAAGGACGGCCCCAACCCCGTTCAGAACGGCCCTCCTATGGCCGTCCTGCCGCTGCTGCTGGGAAAGCGGCGACGACGACGGCGTCGGCGCCTGGGGAATGACGAGGGCCCTGAGGCCACCCGAGACGGCGCCCCCAGAAGAACATCCCCTGTTGGCGAGGGAGCCCCTGGTCGTGTCGGCATTGCCGCTTGTCTGCCTGGAGGAGGGGGCCAGGGAGCCATGTGGAAGGGGGAAGGGTGCTCGGGGAGGAGGGATGAAAAGGAGCATGAGGAGGATGAACAGAAATGGAACAGGCAGAAGGATGCTGGGGGAGGAAAGCGACACAGAGAAGAAGGATCGGGTTAATGAGCAGGCGAGAGGGCAGGGGATTGGGGAGGAGCAGGGGGAGAGGCAGGACGGAGGAAGAAGTAGGACCATATCCAGGACTGGCCATTCCTTCGTAACCGATGGGCCCGAAAGAGGCCGTTCGAGGCCCAGACTTGGGATCGGCAGGCCGTCTTGCCTCCTTCGCGACGCCAGGAGAGCGCAGCGACCGAAATAGGACACTAACCGTGGCCAAGCCGATCCTGGGCTCAGGATCTGTGTGCACGCCTTCTTGGCCCAGCCAGGACAGGACGGCGTACGTGCCAGACGACGGCAGCCCACAGACAACATCGGACCTGCAAACATCGGGGACCTCTGAGATCTGGCGAGTCTGGGGCATTTATCGGTCGCCGCGGCCTATCCAGAGCGCACCAGAAAGCTCTGAGACCATTCCGAAACGCTTCATGGAGAGATGTATGCTGGTCCTGGACCTGGACTCGCCCGATTCGCACGCTCCGACCTTGAGCCCCAGATGGGCCCGGTCAGCATCTACGTCTGAGCACAGTTGCCGTCGTCTGGACCCCCTCCCTCCCTTGCGGCGCACCCCAGCCAGCATCTCGAGGCGGGCCCAGCCGTTGCCGCGAGGACGCCCAGCGAGAGAGGCCCCAAGCAGGCCCCCAGGCCTCGATCCTCGAGGCCCGCACTTCGAGCCGCCGACGATGACGCGGGCGCGTCCCAGACCGCGACGACGACGACGCCGACGACGTCGACGAGCGCGGTGCTGGCCGCGACGACGACGAGGACGACGACGAGGAGTGCGATCCTGGCCGATGGTGCCCTCGGCCTGGGCCGTGGCGCCGTAGCCCTGAAGGCCACCTGCCGGGGCCGCGGTGAGCTTGGCCGCGCTGACGTAGGTGAACTGGTTGCCGCGCACCCTTGGGGCGTGAGGGGGTGGCCTGGGAGCCCGGGACTAGGAGGTGTACTGCTCACTGGACAGCTTATGCAGGGGGAGGAGGACGACCAGGAGCACAAGGAGGACGAAGACGAGGAGGATGAGAAGGGAATGGAGGAGGAGGGGGAGGAGGAGGAGGAGGAGGAGGAGGAGGAGGAGAGCCCGTTGCCCAAGCACTTGCTGGGTCCAGGCCACTGCGGGCGCGCGCGCGCGCCCTCCCGCCCCCCCGTCCATGTTTTGGCTCACATCATGGTTTCCGCCTCCCGCTTGCTTTCAACAATTGAGCAACTCGCTGCTGGAAAGCAATGTCGGGTCCGGCTCAACTCGTACACGGATAACTGCCCATTTCGTGCTCCTCCCGCACTTCGATCCGTGCATGCTGAACTCCTTCGCCGCCGCCGTTATCGACATTTGCGTCGTGGATCACGGGCACGGCAACTCCTCTGGCGAGGCGCATGTCTCCTTCTCCATGCGCCAGATCTGAGATAGTGTTGGTGCCGAACATATTGGAAGTGCTGGCGCCGATCTTCGTGGAGGGGCTGGTCCCTGTCTTCGTAGAGGAGCCCGTGCTGCTCATCGTCGTTCCGATCGTCGAGGAGGTGCCGATGCTGGCGCCGATCCTTTTCGTCAAGGTGCTGGAACTGATTATCGTGGAGGCGCCGATCTGCGTGGAGCGGATGCTACCGGTCACCGTGGAGGGGCCGACGCCGATCATCGAGGAGGTGCTGGTGCAGATCATGTAGGAGGCGCTGGTGCCGATTCTCGTGGAGGTGCTAAGCCTCGCGGAGGTGCTGGTGCCGTTCATCGTGAAGATGCGGGTGCCGATAATCGGGGACGTGGTGGTGCCGCCCATCACGGAGGTGTTGGCGCTGTGCGCCCAGCTGCTGCTACGACGTCTGCGGAATGCTTGACTCCAGAGGCGGAGTGTTTGACTCCAGAGGCGGGGCGGAAGCGAATCGCCACACTTGCTCTGACGGAGGAAGCTGCGCACGAAGATGAGAACTACGCTGCCAGGCTCATCCAGTGGGCCGAGGAAACAGTCATGATGCTGTCTGAGTTTGCCGCCTCTGCACTTCCAGACATCCTGGGCGCGGTGTCAGCCAACAGTCTCGAGGAGGCGCTGGTGCGATACAAGCTGCTGGAGTCCGAAGCCATCGCCGCTCTGGCCGATACCAGGGCTGCTTCCCTGAGGGAGTCGGCAAAGTCAGAGAGCCCGCTCATCCACAGCCTCGCGTCGCCTGCAGATGGTGCACAGCAGAACCGGCTCAAGGCCGCCCACAGTGCCTTGGTCCGGTCACGGTTGACTTCGCGACGATGGCCTGCGATGGCCGGGCAACGTGTACCCCGAACGGGATTTGAGATTACTGGAAGCTCATCGAATGGGATGCGAGTTGAGCCGGGAGTGCGGCAGCACAGTTGCCTCTGTCTGATGTGCTGACGTGTAGAGATTCCGAGCTGCTGGACGCGGCTCGAATTGCTGGTGGTCCTCCGGGCCTGGTTTCCGCGGCTGGGCCTTTGGGGGCCCTTTGTCCTGGGGTCGTCGGGTTGCTGCCTACGCTCCTCCCCTGCGGCCTCCCTCATTTCCTGCTCTTTCTTTCTTCCTCCTTGTTTCTCTCCTCTTGGGGGGGTGCGTTGGCGGGTTCCTGTTCTGGTTCTGGGGTCTCTGGGGTGCCTCTTGGGTTCCTCGTCGCCTCTGTTTCCATCCTGCTCTTTCTCGCTCTCATCCCTGCATAGGCTTCGACCCTCTCCCCTCAGGAACGAACGAACGAACGAGGAGTAGGAGGAAGGTGGAGGAAGACGTCGGTCTGTTTCGGGGCGGTCGGGCGGGCTGGGAAGGCGGGGCAGGCGGCGTCGGCGCGGAGAGGGACGAAGGGCAGCCCAAACGGTTGGATACAACTTCTGGGAGATCTTCGTGATAACGACTCGTTGCTATCAAGCCCGACTGATAAGGCAGCATGGCGGGATAAAGCCAGATTAAGTCCATCTTCACAAGCACGAGCATTACAAACTCCTGAGACAAGCTAGGGAACGCATGCCCGTAGTAAAGAGCATAAAGAACAGCACAACCATCATCAGCTCCAGGTCGAGCTGAGCGTGTGCGGGATGACACATCAACTTCCAGGAATTTCATGAAGAAATTTAGGCCTCTCATGAAGCCGCGTTGGTCCCCAGGAACGAAACGGTCCAGAGGTCGACGGATAGCATCATTCACAGTCGCCGTCAAAAGCTTACTACTGGTATTCCGGATCCCCAAAGCTCGAACTGCAGAGGAGGAGGAGGAGGAGGAGGAGGAGGAGGAAGATGGAGGAGGGCGAGACAAGACAAGCGCAGTTGCAGCCCATGAGTCAACATCGACTGGCAGAGGGAAGAACTGGCTCTCCACTGCGCAGCGTACGCCTGCTGACTGCGACCGCTGGACGTGCGGCCTGATCTGGCCGACCGCGGGAGGGCGCCAAGAAAGGCCACGCGGGAGGAGGACGACCACCGCGACCCGCCTCCCTCCACGAGTGGGCGATCGCACAACGCCTTGGGTGCCGATGAGCATCGTTGCACCGATCCCTGTCCCCACTGGCGTAACCTTGATCCTCTGGCCGACCTTCACACCCAGGTGAGGATATGTACCTGTTCCGTCGGGCTTCGCTGGGCCCATGCCTGACTCCTGGGAGGGTGGGGTCGGGGGGGGACGGAGATGCAATGGCCCAGTGAAATTATATTCTACGATTCCAGGTAGCGGTCATTAGACGGAGGGCGTGGCCGAGTGACGGTAATGCTTGGGCGGGGTGGGGCACGTCGGGTCGGAGGTGCGCTGCGATCGCCACAGTGTGCGCGCGAGCACAAGCATGCGAGGAGGGGGGATCCGAGCCCCCCCCACAAACTACGTCCGATCGTTACCTTTTCCGGGGTGATGGTGGGTGGTGATTTCGCCTAGGTGACGACCGCTACGCGTCAGAGGGTAAGAACACCACAATCTAAGCAGGGATGGGGATGGGTTAGACGATGCTGATCCGAGCACGCGGCATGACGTTCCAGCAGCCGACGATCTCTGCGAGGAAGCCGTAGACGGCCATGACGAGGGGCATGAAGAGGCAGTCCACCTCGGCAAGGCGGGCATGGAAAGCCACACGCGTGCGCCGCGCCGCCGGCTCCACGGCAGTGCAGCCGTCGTGAGGAACCCAGAATGGGGAACGAAGCGGCTCTTCTGGCCTCGGCGAGCCTCGCCCCCGAAGAGGTCCCCCGACCGAGGTCAGAAGCAACCACCTAGTTACCCGAGCCCCTCCTGAAGCAACAGTGGTCCTTGCGTCAGCGTGTGGACTCGTTGTGCTGGCCGGCGGAGGAAAGGAAGGGGGGAGAGAGGGGGGCAGACAGCACGCGTCGCCCGGCGAGGGAGACGGAGACAAGCTGAGACAACCACAAGAGCGAAACTCAAACAAAGATGGACGATTAATAACGATAACGATTATACCGATCGTCGTCGTTGCTGTTGGGAGGGAAAGGCAAGCAGACGACGGCGAACTCGCAGAGTGCGAGGCCATGGCCCGCGGGACGAGGCAACCGGGGGGGACTGGATGGGAGGAGGAGGAGGAGGCCTTCTCCCACCCGGCGCCACGGGTGTGCGCGCCGAGCGGCTTGACTAAGACAAAGCCGTCTCCCCCCTCCTCCTCTGCCTCCCCCACCTCATCACACCCTCCCCCAGTCACCGCGAGCTGGCCAGGGCGGAGGATCGAGAACAGGGGGGTGGGGATACGGGGCGTGTGTGAGAACACACGCCCCGTATCCCCCCTCCTCCTCCTCCTCCTCCTCCTCCTCCTCCTCCTCCTCCTCCTCGAGAACAGGAGGGGGGTTGGATCTGAAGATGACGTTGGTGGCAGTGGGGGTCCTCGTGTGGGCTGAGCTGGCTGCTGGCGGTACTGCCTTGCTCTGCTGGCCTCCTGCAGGGCTCTCGTCGCCACGGCAGGCTCCACCCTCGAAGCCCTGGCCGGGGCGCCTGCCCCAAGGGGAAGGGCGGGGAGGGACACTTGCGCACTTCGCAACCCCCAGGGCGACGCCAAATCTCGGCCGGGTCAGGGTATTCCCCCCGCTCCACCGCGCCCACCCCGGAAGCCAGCGAAAATGGCGACCGTTGCCCTTTCGCAGCCCCGCAAAGAGTCGCGAGGTCTCGGCTGGATCTGCGGACTCCCTCGCTCCGCCGTGACCCCCAGAAAACCACGAAAGAGGCGATGGTTGCGCACTTCGCAGCCCCGCAAGGAGCCGCGAGGTCTCGGCTGGATCTGCGTACCCCCTAACTCCGCTGGACCACCCAGGGGCCCACACACAAATGGCGGCAGTTGCGCACTTGGCAGCCCCTCAGGAAGCCGCGGGGTTTGGGCTGGGTCTGCGTGGGGGGTTCACGGTCGAACCCCGCCCCCAGCGAAACTGATTCCTTCATTTTTCTGCCACTCTGGCCGCTTCGTGTTCCGCTCCCTTTCTGAACTCTCTCCCTCCCTCCCTCTCACTCTATCTCTCTTTCTTTCTCTATCTCCCTCTCCCTCTCTCTCTCTCTCTGTTTTTTTTGTTTTGTTTTCTCTCTCTCTCTCTCTCTCGCACGCTCACCCTCTCAGCCCGGGGCTTGGGACCTGGGCACCCGAGGTTACAAAGTTCTCGGAGCGCTTGAGCCCCAGTCCACTGGTGGTGCTTGAGGGGGGGGAGAAGAAACACACAAATATGATTTGTTGTTTCCCCCTCCCCTCCGAAGCAAACAATCGATGACCGCGATCGGACATTTTTGGGCGGGAGGCTGGGAGGTCTTATGAAGGGACCGAAAAAAAAACCAGAGGAGCGGTGACGACGGCGACGACATCCACGAGGGCGACGGCGGCGATTCCCTGCTGAGGATTCCCATGCTAAGGAACCCTTGCTAATGATCACGCACGAAACATTCCTTACGAACGACTCCTTACATCGGATTCCATAATTCGGACTCCTTACCAAGGACGCCGTACTGAAGAATCCTTGCGATTCATCTCCAGCGTGCATACCAAGGAATCCTGCCACAATATTCCGTAGTAAGGACGTCAAGCGAAAGTTCCCGAGCTAAGGATCCCTGACCAAAGGTCCCTCACCAAATATTTTCTTCTAACGGTTCCCTACTACGGACTCGTTGCTATTAAATCCATATTCGCAAATTCACTAACAACTACTCGCTTATGCGGATTCCTTATTATTGGCCGGTGTATTAAATATTCCCGCTTGGGACTCCAATACAAAAGAACCTTTACGGTTCCCCACTGCGGAGGATTCTCGTCAAAGGAACCATGTAACGAATTCCTTATGAAGGACCCCCTGCGTCATACTCATTACTAGCAAATCCTTACGAATGAATCCGTGCTGACGAACATTGTCGGAAGGACGCCTCATTTTATTTTTACAAAGGCTCCTTACCTCGGATGCCATGCTTCTGACCCCTCAGTGCGGATCCCAACCTGACAAATCCGTCTTATGATTTAATGTGTATCGGGTCCCTACGAAGGACTGCCGGCAAAGGTTTCTTGCAGAAGGACTCCCTCATACGGACTACAGGTGAAGGCTTCCCTGCCAAGGAACCAATACGAAATACCGGCTTCCCAAAGCCATGTTGCTGCGACGCAGCACAGACCATGGCTTATCCAGGGCCTGGCAAGGCTTACCAGGCCTTAGCAGAACCTGGTACGGCTGACCAGGGCTGACCAAGGCATGGCGAGTTCACCAACGCTGGGCGGGGCTGAACTGGGCTTAGCAAGGCTCAGCAAAGCTCGCCAGGGAGTTGTACTGTGCAGCAGAGCTCGGCACGGTTTAGCAGGGTCTGCCAGGACTTAGCTAGGCTGAGCAAGACTTACAACAGGGGGCTCCGCAAAGCTTCGCTGGGCACAGCATGGCTTACGAAGCTTAGCTGAGCTTGGTAAGGTTTACGAAGCTAGGCAAGGCTAAACAGAGCTTACCGAGGCTTAGCAAGTCTTACCAGCGCTTACCAATGCTCTGAAGGGCGTACCAGGCCACACCAAGGCTTTGCAGAGCTTGTCAGGCCTGGGCGGTGCTTAGCCAGATGCAGTAAGAACATGGCAAGGTTTACCAACCCATAATAGGCTTACAATGGCATCGCACGGCAGACCGAGACTTAGCAGGGCTGAGCCGAGCTCAGCAGCGCTCAGCAGGGCTTGAAAGCTTCACAACGCCTCGCAGGGCTTAGCGAAGCTGGCCAAGAACAAGGCTCAGCAACGCCTAACAGTGCTCAGCAATGGTCTTCATGTTAAGATTGGTTTTGCGAAACGCACCAATATGAGCAGGGCCATCCAGAACTTACTGGCCTTAGCAAAGCTTGCAAAGGCTGAGCAGGCTGGGCCAGGACGTAGCAAGGCGCAGTACCAAGGCTGCGCAGTGCTGAGCAAGGTCCAGCAGGAAGGCTTCGCAAGGCTTACCAAGGCCTGCTAAGTTATAGTAAAGCTCACCAACACCCATTAGGGCTAAGGGCTCGCAAGGCCTCGCCAGGCTTCGCAGGGCTTAGCAAAGCCTGCCGAGGCAAAACAAGGTTTAGCAAGGCACACCACGGGTTAACACAGCTTACCACGCTTAGCAGGGATTCGCCAGGCTTGCCCAGGCTTGGCTAAGTTTACCAGGGCTCAGCAGGGCTTATCAAGGTTTCAGGACATACTGCGGTTCACCTGGGCTTCGCAAGGCTCAGAACAAAAAAAAACTTAAGCAAGGCCGAACAACAATTAGCAATGCGTAGCAGGGTTGGGCAGGGCTGGCCCGGGCGTACCAGAGTGCAGCGGAGGTTAACAGGGCTCAAGAAGGCTGGGCATGGCTTAGCAAGCGTTGCAGGGCTCAGCATCGTGTTACCAAAGCTTAGCCAGGCGCTACAGAATTTAACAGGGCGTGACAAGGCTTACCAAGGCTGAACGGGGCTTCGGGGAAAGTCAACAACGCCTTGCAAAGATTTGCAAATCTTGGCACGGCTTAGCCAGGCTGAACAAGGCTTATCAATGCTTACCAAGGCTTCGCAGTGCCTATCGGGGCTGTCCAGGCCCTCTCAATGCTCAGCCACACTCATGGTTAGCAAGGCTTAGCAGATCCCACCAAGGCTTACCAGGGCCGAGCAGGGTTAGCAATGGTGAGCTAGGCTTGCCAGGCCAAGCAATGCTTAGCAGAGCTTTGCAAGCCTTACCAATTACCAAGGCTCAGTCAAGCTCAGCAGGGCTGAACTGATGTGACAGGCCGGTGACGAGGGAGGCGAAGGTGGAACCTCGCAGGAACGCGTGGGCGGGCTGGGCAGGGGGAGGAGTTGGGAGGAGCCGGGGCCGTGGGCGTTGATATTTGAACACCGGCCACGGCACGGACGTCCTCTGCCCGCCACTTGCTCGAAATCAACTGCCACCACCAGATGAATTCTCAACCATGCCTGGGGGGGATTTGACCCTGGAACCCTGCGTTCCCCCCTGCTCCGCCGTGCCTCCCAGGAGCCCAAGAACGTGGCGACAGTTGCGCCCTTCGCAGTCGCCAAGGGGGCCGCGAGGTCTCGGCTGGGTCCGCGTGTCCCCGACTCCGCCGTGCTTACGTGGAGCCATCGAGAAAGGCTCGGCTGAATCTGCGGACTCCTCCCACTGCGCCACGTCCTCCTGAAAACCCACGAAAGTGGAGACAGCTCCGCAGGTGGCAGCCCTCAAGAGGAAGCGCTGGATGCAGGAGGAAACACAAGATACAGCAAGAGGTAAACAGAAGAGGGGGTGGGAAAAGAGCTGCGCGACCAATGCTCCACCTGAAATGAGAATCCATCACAGGAGAATTGGGAAACAAAACAACCGCAACAATATGGCATATGGGACACATCGTTGGCCCAATGCTGTTAGCCATGCCGTCACGTCAAACTCGCATATCATTTCCATCACTTCCATCATCACCACTACCATCATCATCATCATCATCATCATCATCATCATCATCATCATCATCATCATCATCATCATCATCCTCAGCATCAGCATCATCATCATCATCATCATCATCAACACCACCACCATCTTCATCATTAACATCCGCATCCCCATCCGAAGTCACATCTTCACTCTCACTCCCATCACAGTCATCATCATCATCACCATCATCATCATCATCATCATCATCATGATCATCATCATCATCAGCATCCTCATCATCATCATCATCAACATCCTCATCATCATCAACGACGATACATCGCCAATATCATAGCCTTCCCCATACTCATCCTCATCCTTTCCAGCATGAACATCAACATCATCATCGTCGTCGTCATCGACCCGATGTTCTCGGAGAGGCCTCCGGGAACATCCAGCTCTCTTGGAGGCTTTGGGGCGGGGTGGGGGGGTGCGGGCTCCTGGTATTTGTTTGCAAGTTCTATCGGGGCCCCATTCTGTTGATTCGGGAGCCCCTTGTGCCGTCTGGAAGGAATCTTGAGGCCTGAGAGGCTGGCCCATCGAGAGCAAAAAGGCGAATTCTTCAGAACCTGTAGTTTCCCATTGGCTACTACATGATGTAAACTTGTCCTGTTGGACTCTTGGAAACCTCTTGGGGGCATCTTGGAGGTCTCTCGGGGGCGAATTGGTGCTGCCTTGGAGCCTCGAAGTGGCTTCGCGAGCCTGTTTTAGGGCGCTTTCGGCTCGTCTGTCGCTTTCGGAAACTGTCAAATTGGGCTCTTCGAAATGCCTTCGGTCGTTTTGGGAGGCTCTTGACGGCTCTGGGAACCGTCTCAGTGTCTAGATGGCCCACGTCGCCGGTCCTGAACCATGAAAATACAGGCCGAATTGCTCCCGTCGTCGTTGAGGTAATCCACTGTCAACACGCGCCCCCTGATGCCAATCTCGGCATCTTCTCCATCTGGAAGGACGCAGCCGCTCTCATCCGCAATGCAGACAAACACGGCGGCGCGGCTGCCTACTGTGCCTGGTGCGTCCAAGGCGTCACCTTCCCAACGCTGGGCGATCGGCGCGCACTCCGCCATACAGCACCGAGAGATCACTGAACAGCCGAAGAGCGTCCTGAGCATCTACGCATCCGCTTTGGGCAGGCTGGCGTCAGCGCTACGGATCAGACGGAGACTGTGGAGGTGCGGTCGCGCCGCAGTGTGGAAGCACTGCCTTTTGGATCGTGGGCGCGCAGAACTACCAAGTTGGCTTGAGCTCGCCAAGCCAGTGCACGAAGAGGTCGAGGTTTAAAGATGGGGCATCGACCACAGACCATCCCATGAAGAGGGTGGAGATCAGGCTGCAGAACGTGCCTGCGATGTACATAAATGGCAAGCCGTTCGAACACACGTCTGTCTCTGCAAGCCCACGAGTCTGGCAAATGCCGGGTGCGCTGGCGTGAGGTCCCCGCAAGCTCCAAGGAACCACCTTGGTTTTGGACGTGATACCTGATGTCCGAGGGGCCAAAGCAGGATCCGTGCTGGGGCAGGGGCAGCAACCACCAAGGCGCACGCCCAGAGCGAAACGCTGCAAACTCACGCTCCCCGGTGTCACGGGGTTTGACACACATCCAAGCCTTGTCAACCAGGGGGACGACCTCATGCAAATTGACAATTCTCACAGAAGGCACCTTCTGCGGACGGAGCTTCGCAGCATGCTTGAGGCGCAATTGCTGACACGCATCCAACCACTCATCCTCGGAAAAGGTGGGCTGAAGCGGCGCTGCGACACAGTTGCCCAGAAGCAGGGCAACGACCAATGTCGGCCCATTTCGCAACAGCAAGGCCACTACGTCCTCGGTGCCAACACCTCAGATGAGAAAGAACGACGCCGTCTGAAAGGAACCACTCAGTTCCTGCTAGCTTGGTGGCGCCTGCGCACGGCCAGTGCTCATGATCGCCCGTCTCGCCAAGTCGAGCGGATTGAAACAATCAGTGACGCTCGTCGCGGATTCCAAGTCGCACTGCACTGTCGCATTCTGAATTTGACTGTCAACGCTAATGTCTGGATTTGCCCTTTGGGTGCGAATAGACATCGCAACTGCGTTGGAGAGCGCAAGGCCTGACTGTATACACATACGACTACCCAGGCGGGACACCCCGTGCCACCGCCCGCCAAACGCCGACACAACACCGACGTGAAACCAACAGAACACCACAGGTCACCACGGCGGGACACAGGCACCCCGGCGGGACAGCCCGGGCTTTCGCGCGCCAACGGGGGGTGGAGAGGCGGTCCTCTGCAGCATCTGAACCGCCCGAGCGACGGCGGGGTCAGTCCTCTCGCGCGCCCATGCAGTTTCGCCTCGCCCGCACGCGCGACACGAACACGAAACCGAAACCGATTTCCCAGTGGGGGGCTCTCCGTTCCACTTGCGATCTCAGCCCCAAAACTCCGATTCCTGTCACCTTGGTGTGGACACGGTCGCGACTAGCGCAGCGCAGCGGCGAAATGTTCGCTTTCCGCCTGATCCGAATTGGCTGCGGAAGCTGCCTAAGAACCTGTTGGGACCCTTTTTTCGGCCGTCTGGGGGTCATCTTAGGCTGTCTGGGGCTGTCTGCAAGCCATCTGGAGCCGTCTTGGCCGTCTCGAGGGCCATCTCGAAGCCATCTTCGGTTGTCTCAGAGCCATCTTGAAGGGTCATGGGGGCTCCCGTCGACCATTTTTGGCATTTCTGGGGTTCCTCGGCGGCCGTGGTTGAACCATTCCGCGGCCTCGAATGCTGTTCAGAAGCGATGATCCGGGTTCTTGGAAACAGAACACGGGTTCCCCTTCTGCTTTGGAATGCGCTTAACCTCCTGGAAGGCCTCTTGGGATATATACCAATGTATGCACACACATATACATACATACAGATACTCTGGGAGAAGAGGAGATGGAGAGCGCGCGACCACTCACTGAATCACATTACGGCGTGACTGGCACAGTAGCGCGAAGCAGAAGACCGCTAGACGAACTGGGGTCGCTACGCGAGCCGACCTGCCATAGGCAAGCTCATGTGATAACCGATGGCCTGAGATAAATAAATCAACAATATGAGTGTACAAGGCAAGACGGGGAGGGGAGGGGATGGGACGAAGAGGACGAGAGCGAGGAAGAACGGGATGGGGTAACACGCGCGCACAAGCATTACAAGGAACGAGTCCGAAGCCTGGGTGAGCTGTGACAAGACGATGGACCGAAGCCGCAAGACCCTGAAAGAAATCCGGATTTCGCGTTGTCGAAGACAAAACGCGGGAAGGAACGATACCTCTATGTGTTTGAAATGATGTACATGAAAAAAATGCGCCAGAGCCGAAACAGCCCCAGACGCGCCTCCAAGGCGAGCGACGGCAGACGCCATGACGAGCACATCCTTAACAACAATTAATGCCACAGCGGTGCTGACTGACGTGCCTTCGGCGAGTGCAGTGGCGAGCTCGCGAAGCGGACCAGCACGCAAGGCACGGGGAAGATTCCCCTCCACCACCATGGCTACCAGCGGGGCTCAGTGGGACCACTTGGCCGCTGAATTGTTTCGTGGGGGAAACGATGGAGAGGGAGGGAGGGATGGGGGGCGGGGCGGGGGGGGGGCGGAGGGGAGGCAAAATCGACCCCCCCTGCGACGCGGGCCGCAGGCGCGCCGCCAGCACGGCGGCAGCCCATCAAGGACGCAAACAGAGCATGCAACCTGGGAGGGAAGAGAGGGGAGGAGGGGAGGGAGGAGTATAGGTAAGACCTATGCAAACTGTACTGCAGACGCTGTCACTGGCATGTAATTCAGGAGCCGTCCGGGTTTTGGCTTTTCCTGGCGGACTGCAACAATGAGTGCCTGCGAGCCAAAAATACGACCTGCACATGCGCATCGAATAAAATATCGCAACATCCATCCAACACGTCGGACGATTCTAGCTCGCCTGGCTCCTAAAATCTGCCGACGGCAAACCCTCAGAAACATTTCCTGAGTACAACTGTGGGGCCCGACTCGTCGTACTCCCCTTTGGATGACCGATCCACACCAAATACTTGCGCGCGAACGGAGCCACGAGCTTGATCCTCATTGTGGAAGGAGCAAATGCCGTCGGCTCTTCGGTCACGCGCTCGTCGATACCTGGAAACATTGTGGGGAAGCCAGACAACACCACGTTGGCGCACATGTCCGCGCGGAATCCGACATCACACTTCATGGACGACTGAAAAGTGGTGTCGTGGATGCCGCTGCCATCCTTGCCCACGAACTTAGGCTGGAAGAGCACCTCTGGGTAGCCGAAGCGCTCGCTGCCTATGGTGATGTCCCCGTCGGGAAACTCGTACGTCTTCTCCTTGTCGGAGCTCTCAATGGCGGCCTCCAGCTCTGAGTCGAAGTCGAACGGGATGTAGCAAGGCTTTTGACGTCGCGCGCGGTCTTTCGCCCAGCCGTGGTGGTGAAATAGCAACGCTCCGTAAGGACTTTCACCAATTGCTCCGTCGGGTCCCGCACCGCCAGATCCAGGCGCAGGATCGCATGCGGCAGCGCGTAACCCACATACGAGGGTGCGGTGTGTGACCGTTCGACGCGCCATCGCCGGAACCCATGGCCATCCTGGTGGCGCGGACTGGAGCGTGCAGCGAGAGCCCTGCCTGGATCGCAACCTACGTCGCCGGCACGGTGAACGTCTCAACCATCATGATCTGCGTCATGCGCTCGCGATTCGCTTTCAGGCCAACGGGCGCCTCCATGAGAAGCAGAGGATGCCGCTACGGAGCCACGCGGAGCTCGTTGTAGAAGGTATGGTGCCAGATCGCCCCCATATCGTCACAGTCTTTGCCGTTGCCATGCTCGATGGGGCACTTCAAAGTCAGAACGCCGCGCTGGCTCTGGGCTTCGTCGCCCACGTAGCTGCCCTTCTGGTTCATGCCGACCATGGTTCTTGGCAGCGGGAGAAGCTGCACCCCGGGGGCGGACCAGGAAGCGGGGTGCAAACTGGGGCGGACCAAATGCACTGAGAAAAGAAAACTCTGCTCACCTGGGGCGAACCAGGAGGCAGGCTGACGCCTGGGGCGGACCAGGCGCAACGAATGGCTCAAGGCCGTCCGAAACGTTGAGCTTAGGCTGCCTACGTGCGTTGATGTGTATATATATATATATATACACATGTATATATATATATATATGTACATATACATATATACATATATATAGATCTGTATGCCCCCGACGCCCTCTAAGGCAACCGAAGAACGCTGGGGATCGGCGCTGGGTGCGCAAGACGAACGGGGGGGGGCAGCACATGACAGCGTACCGCACGGCTGCAGCAGCGGGGCAATAAGCCCCCGGCGATGATGAGTCCGATCAACGCCGCCGTCTCGCCCACCCTGACGCCTGAGCGACGGAGACAATGAAACCGAATAGGAGGAGGGTTAGTGGATGACGGGCGGGGGGGGACAGGGCAGGGCGAATATCCGAGGAGATCGACCACAACATTGTTTACACCAACAGTGCAATGTTCGTACAACTTTTGGTTCAAAAACGTGAATACGATCCACTGCGTGTGTTTCCTAGACTCGAAGAGAATAACATTTAAGTGCACAACAAGTATGTAGCCAATTTCTTACTCGACACACGGGTCAGGAGAGGGGCAGGGCATTGCGCAGGGAATGGGGCAGGGACAGGAGAGGGGCAGGCGAGCGGCAGGGCAGGGGCATATAGAGGCAGACTGCTGAAGGCAGGAACCACAAACATGTGGCGGAAGAACAGTGCCTGAGACTGGCAGTGCGCCGCACCTTTGCATCCTCGATCCTCCAGGCAAATGCACACTTGACTCACCAACGACTTGTCGTCCCCAACGGGTTCTCATCCCTCTGCTGATGGTGGCCCGGACACCCGTTATCGTGAAAAGAACCTCACGGCCAAAACCCTTGACCCCATCTTTGCGCGGAAATCTCGAGCCTGATCTATCCATGGAGGGCCCGCATGCCTTCGGTGACGCCTCTATGTTACGGGCGTGTCGGGGGCGGGCCGATCCAAGTCCGTGCTTACCGGGGTCAGCCAGGGACATGCCGCCGGACGGCCACAAGGTACTCAGCGCCCAAAGCTCGGATTAGCATAGTGAGGGGAGGAGGGGATCGGCCCTGCAAGGCTCCCGAATTCAGGCTGGGGGGAGTTCGGCGTACAGACGCCCCAGCTGCAAACCTGTGGGACGCTGGAGCGTCTACACATCAAGCATCTTGGCTCAATTCCTAGGCTCACTGGCCGACCAACGATGTGGTGTATACATCGAGCCCCTCCGACGGGCCAGCCACAAGGGATCGGCTGGCCCCCGCCAAGGCTTGCGAGGCGATGATACATCCATATCCACCGCCTGGGGAACCGACCTCCTGGGACCCCAGCGCGCGGTGGATAGTGGGTATGGATGCTATGTGTGTATGTATGTATGTATGTATGTATGTAGGTAGGTAGGTAGGCATGTATGTATGTATCTGGATAGATTGATAGATAGATCGATAGATATCTAGATATGGAACATGTCGGCCCTGGGAGGTCCGAACGAATCCATATCTACTGCCTGCCGAGGCCCTCGAGGATCGATCCCCGAAGCTGTGGTTATGAATGAAATCCCTGCCTCGAAAGGCCGACACCGTGACATGCGCCCTTAGTGGGCCCTGGAAATGACAAGGCTTGCTCCATTGTGCAACTTTAGTTGCCGCTTCGGGCACCGTTTTCTTCTCCAATTCCGTCGCCGTGTTGATCGTGGTTCCTGTCTGGGCTCCAATCCGGGATTAGTTCTTCCCCGCTTCTGGGAGCCAATTTCTGTCTTACCGCTCTCTGTTTCAGAGACAGTCTTGGGAACCGCAGAAAAAAACAGCCATGCCGCTTCAGGGGCACATTAATCGGGGGCGCGCAAACATGGATGGATTCGGCGCGCGGTCGCCAAATCCATGGATTGGGGGACGTGCCCTCACCAAAATGCGGCCAACGCCGCCTCGTACGGCGGCGGACATCCGCGACTTCCCATGGAAGCGGGACCCGTCGCTAATCCACGCCCCCTTGATCCATGTTTGCGATCGCCTGAATTAACCGTGCGCTCCGAGGGCGGCAGATCCTGCGAGCTCGGGCGCGATGCACGCGTCCGACTGCACCCACAAGCTGCTCCAGTGCCTGGCCGCGCCGCGAGCCGAGGCCGCCGGAGAGAGCGGGCTGGCAACCACGATGAGACCATCGTTAGGTCGGGCATGTCCATCTACAGGCGGAGTTTGAACGAAAAATCAAAATACGCAAAACAGATTCGAACACACGCGAAAAATCGAAAGATCGTCCCCAGACTATGTTTTGCTATTTTTGAATGTTTCTCCTGTAGATGGGCATGCCCGACTTAAGACCATGAACACCTCCCACCCACCTCTCCTCCGTCCTCCACGAGCGACTGCGATCCCTTAGATCTGGGCGTTGCAATTGTTTCGCTCCCGGCCGCTCCGCCCAGTTTCGGGCCCTGGGACCATCACGGACCGATCGGGCTCGAACAAATGCAGCAGAAGAATGGGGTCCAGGGCTCCGGTCGTGATTGTTCTGACCATTGCATAATCTTCGCAACGTCGGATCTCATGGATGGGCGGCCTTAGATCCCTAGGCACTGAGGAGACATGAGCGACGATGGCCCAAGAGCCTCCCGAAGGACAAACTTCGAGACCTGGGGGGGGGCGTCTCTTCTCGTCCAGCCGCATCCTCCTTCCTCAGCATCGTCCTCCCCGTCCTCGCCCTGCGAAATGATCCTCTTCCGCGTCTTCGCCTTCCGTGCCCCATAGCGTCCTCCTCCCCCCTTTCCTCGCCCTTTCTTCGTCCTCCCCCCCCTCCTCTTCCGCCCTTTTCTTCTCGTTCTCCCCCCTTCCAGCGCCAACGCAGCGCAGGCGACAATAATGGATGGAGAAAACAAGGGTGGAAGGACACGTGCGTGACGAAAATAAAGGGGTCTAACGCACGATGGCATAGCGACCTTACGCGGTAGCTTACGCGGGCCGCCAGCGCGGCACGCTGCATTGGAAGCGCGGGCGCACGTGCGACCTTACGCGGAGAACTTACGCGCCAATGTCGGCGCAGACGGGCCCGTTATGTTCCGTCGCTCATGTGGGACACACAGCGATAGAGAGGGACACACAGCGAGAGAGAGAGAGAGACAGTGCGAGAGAAAAGAAGAGGGCGGACGCAGAACAGACGCACACAATTAAGGACAGAGGGTTGGAAAAGAAGATGAGCGAAATGAGAGATGAGCATGCCAAAAGCTTGGAGTAGAAAGTATGGGAGGACGGGATGGATGGAGTAATCAAACAATTGCAGAATTAGGGGGGTGGAGGTGGCCCCCCGTGAGCACATTGAGAAAATGCAGAAGACTCTTTGTTGTGCCCGCTCGGCAAGAAAGGAATGAGCGCAACGCGGGTTCCTGTCACACTTCCTCTGGGTAGCTTTATGACACCATCCTCCCTGACGTTGCAAAAGCGAAGAAGCTTACCTCGTTTTCGTCTTCTTAGGCAGCATGAAGGCCGCGCGGATGAACAAGAAGTTCGCGACCGCGCATAAAGAGAATGGAATTGCCACTGCGAGCGGTGCTGTTGTGTTCGCGGCGCTGGTGTGTTCGCTAATGCGTTCGCCAATGGGCAACGAATGAATCTAAGTAAACCATAGGCATCGGAATGCTAGCAACAGGCATGGGATGAGTGAGGATGAGCGATGACGCACATGTGTGAACTCACACGGGCCCGCTGGTGCGTGAACGTATGAAGAGGATGAGGAGAGGGCGATAATGAAAACGGTGAGGCAAGAAACTGAGGCGAAAGACGGCGCGAAGCAGGAGGGGAGCCGGGGATGAGAAGGAGGAGGACAGCGAGGACGGGGAAGGGGAGTCAGGTATAATCTGGGTGATTGGCAAGGCGAGGCCAGAGGGGAGAGGAACACGAGATGGCATAATCAGAGGAGGATGATCAGATGAAGAGGATGATGAGGAGGCGGAGGGGAGATGGAAGGGACGGGCAAGGATGGGGATAAGGGGAGGTGGAGGAGATTAGGGAGGAAGAGAGGAGGCGGGGAGGAGAAGATGAATGAGAAGGAGAGGATGATTTGGGATGAGGATGAGGATGGTATAATTCCAGGAGTGGAATGGAGAGGGAGGTGATGAGGAGGAAAACATCATGATAAATAATGGTACGGACAATGAGGCGGAAACAGGCGGAGGAGGTCTTCCGAGATGCCCAGCGTGATGCCAAAACAGGGTGAACACATACCGAAACGCCTCGACCTTCGACCCTTGAGGAACGAGCAGGAGGAGGGGCAAGAGCACGAGGAGCAGGGCCATGAGGAGGGCTCCACCAATTCCCCCGAGGGACCTGTACGCTCAGTCAGTGTCAACAACGCAGAGACACCTCGGTGTTTCATCATTGAGGATGAATGATAAGGGGGCGCCACTCCTCCTCTCTCCTTCGGTCCTCCCTTGAGGTGGTAGTGGTGGTGGTGGTGGTCGGTCCCCTCTCTCATTCCTCACCTCCGCGGCGGAGAACGAAACGAGGAGGACGAGGAGGTGGAGGAGGCAGAGGAGGACAACGAAGGCAAGGAGGATGACAAAGAGGACAACGAGGACGAGGAGGACGAGGAGGAAGACGAGGAGGACAACGAGGACGATGAGGAGGAGGATGATGACGTGGACGAGACAGAGGGACGAAAGGGCTTCCTGGCCAGGTCAGCGCCCACGCCCCAGCGAGACCGCAGAGCAGCGTCTGGCCGTCCGCGCTGGCCATCCAGATCCTTCGGGGGGCGCGGGCCGGCGCGCGCGGGCCAGTGAATGAGGCGACGAAGAGGACGAGGGAGAGGCTCAGAGGACACCTGAGATTAGGGGGAAAACAAACCTACCCCGCGTTTGACCACCCTCGCTTCCAAGAGATACCAAACGATGCCAAATTGCAGCCTGCTGGTCAGGCCGCTTGACGAGGAGGCGCGTGGTATGGCTTGGTTTTGCCTGGAAGCGAAAGCGGGGTAGGTAATTCACGCTCTGAGAAAGATAAGAACTCTTGCCAGAAGAACTCGTGGGGCACAGGTGTCGTCGATCTTCTTGCTCCGTGCGCCCCGCGCCTGGCGCGCCCCGCCGGTCTCACCCCTTGCGCCTGCGTTCGCCGCCCATTCGGAGAATTGCCCGCCGATCTTTGACGGCCCTGAGATGCCCCAAATCTTCTGTGGGTCCCGGGGGCCGTCGGAGGATGTGAACTTTCCGTGCAGCAGCTGCTGCTGGAAGGCAAATGTCCGCATTCGATGTGCCCACTGCAAGATGGTCATGATACACATTCGATCATGGCACCCATTGGAAAAAAGAAACGGCATAGACATGAACGGTCGACGATCCGCGCGGATTTCTCGGATCGGCGCTGCGATCCATGGGGGCCAGGGAGCATAAGAAAGGTCCGAGGGGCACCTGCTGGACAACAGATTTCTTATTCGATGTGCACACTGTATGCTGGTCATGACACAAGTTCGAACATGGAACCTGCTGGAGCAATCATGAAGAAAGGCCATGAACAGAAACAGCCGAAGGTTCGCGCGGACTTCTTGGATCGGTGCTGAACACTCCCTGGATGCGCCTCCGGCGCCGCCCGTGGCGCGCTCCACGGCGCGTCTCGCGCCGATCCAACCAAGGTAGATGCGTGGACCTCCACAAGGTTATGTTTATGCAAATGTGTTTGTTTCAACCCTTGTTGCCCATGCGCCATCTGCGCTGAAAATCGGCGATGCTTCGGCCGTCTCCGGTGGTGGTCGCCTGTCTTTGGGGTCTCCCGGGGGCGGGAGAGGGGGAGGGGGCTCGCCACTGCGGCCGGATCCGCCTCGAAATCCTGGTCATGACGCGCTTCAGGACAGGTCTCGTGGTCGCCACAGAGAGCGGGAGGGTCGGACGAGGAGCGAGGAGTCGGTGAAGACATTGGAAGTGTAGATCTGGACGTCGTCCCAGGGGTTCCCCGAAGGCGTGGCTTTTTTTGGAACGCCCTTTCTGGAAGACAAGTGGGTGCTCCTTCCGGCAAGGATAAGGACGGGCGGGATGAGGGTGTGGAGAACAAGGAGCTCCCCGCTCCTCGTCCGTCCTCTCCCTACCCTCTCCCCTGGACACCCTGCAAAGACCCTGCAATACCACTGCACCCCCCCTGCAAAGGCCTTTGTAATACCTTGTGATACCTTACGACACGGCCCTGCATTACCTTGGCGGGGCGGGGCACACCGAGAAGGACGGGGAGTATGGCACAGTTGGCTAGGACGCGGCGGCAGAGCAGGGTCAGGAGGGGGCGAATGAAGGCGACGAGGGCGCGGCCAAGAGTGGCGGGAGGAGATGACGAGCATTGGCATTCGCGCGTTCGCCACGGGCCGGGCCAATACCCACGTTTCGGCACTTGCCGGCGGAAGATCGGCGTGCTCTGCCGCGGACGGGAGGACGGCGTGGGTCCCAGACAGCCCCTTCTCGAAGCACAGCGGCGGGAGGGGGTGGTGGGGCCGAGTGAGAGGGACGACAGGATCGGTCAGCACGGAATCGGGCTCTCGGCTCGAACCGAAATGCGTGTCCAGTCGGGCCGCGTCGGCACGGAGTCGGAGCAAGCACATCTCGTCCACGATTGGGTGAGGCTAAACAGTTCATATGACCGATCCGCACACTCTTGAATACCCATGTGTTGGCCTCCATTTGCTTCATCAGATCCCGCTGGCCCCCGCAAGCGCAAACGGTTCCGTAAAACGTTTGCTGACTCCGGTCGACTGACTCCAGTAAGCGTCCGGCCAGCTTCCGGGGCGAGAGGCCAAATGAATGATTCGTCGAGAACGCGCCCTTGCTGGGACGGCCTTTCTGCAGGGGCGGTGCTGCGGGCGAGAGACAAAAGGATGAATCTCCTGTCGGGGCACTCGGGGACCGCACGATGGTTGGCGAGCCAGTAGACCGTCAGGACCTGAGCGCAAGGCATCACTTACAAATGCAGATGGGGAACTACGCAAGATATAAACCATACCGTTGCAGCAATCCTGGCAGCCATGGATTTCCGATCGTTGCCACCAGCTCATAGATAATGGGACGAGGCGAGGACAAGACAAACATCAGACATAGGTAGATCACCCAGATCATGAATTCTGATAACACTCTTTGTCGAGAGCTACAGAGTGTAAGATCGACCATTCTTTATGAGACTGCTAAACATGAGCTTGCGCATTATTTATCTCTGATATCGATCGGCTCTGGAGGATGCATCAAGCGCCGCGGCCTTCCCAGAGCGTCTTGAAACTCTGAGAGCGCTCCGAAACGCTCTGGAACGAATGATCAACCAATGACATACACATAGAAACTGTTGGAGCTCCGCCAGACTGTCTTGGATCGACGCTGGACCCCCCTGCCTGGCGCACAGAGCGCGACAGGGGGACAGGGGGAACGCATGAGGTGGAGCCAGGAGGCCCCACCGCCGATCCAAGGAATCCGCGCGGACCTTCGAATATGTATGCTTATGTCATTGCTTCTTCTACGATGTCCTAGCCCCGCCCGCTGAAACCAGGTCACCCACACTGGCGCTACGCCACCTCTTCGCGCTCTCGCGCGGCGCAACCCTGGAGGAGGACACGTCTCCGGCCCAGACCGCGAGCCACGCTTCCCTTCGCACCCCCGCGGGGTGGCCTAGACAGACGTGCCGAGTGCAGCGGGCCCGCTGAGGTGCAGGACGGGCGCGCACACGAGCGAACCAGAATGCGGTGACAAATGCCCAGGTGCGCAATCGGATCTAGCAGTGAGGGCGAGCTGAGGGATGCTGCCCCTGCAAAGCGCCCCCCTCAAACGAGAGAGGGGCGGAGGAAGCAGAGGGGGATGAAGCCATATTCCCACCAGCCCTCTGGGCGTCGGCGGTTTAGAGCGTTTCCTCTTCCACCCCTCCTTCTTCCCCCTCGGGGAGGGGTTTACCCCTCCCCCTACCCCCTCCCCATGGACCTGGACGGGGGGTGTCGCGAGTCGTCGGAGCGTCCAAAACGGCCTCGGCGAGGAAGCCATACTGATTGACTTTACTACGGTTTTGGCCCCATTTTGGCCTCCTGGGGGGGGGGCTGTAATTAGTACCCCCCCTCCTGTGATCCATCTCACCCAAGGTGGCCCAAAGATGGCCCCCAAGGGTGCCCCAAGAGGGCCCCAAGAGGTGACCAGGAAGCCCCAAGAGGCCCCCAGGATGCCCCCAAGAGGCTCCCAAGAGACCCCCAAGAGGCCCCAAGAGATCCCCCAGAGACACCCAAGATGCTCCAAGAGGCCTCGGCGAGAATGCAAAATCATTGATTTCACGAAGGTTTTAGCCACATGTTGGCCTCGTTGGGGGGGGCACTGATTAAGACGACTCCAAGAGCGCCTGGGAGAGCCCAAGATGACCTCCAAGATGGCTCCAGATATCCCAAGATGTCTCATAATGGCTTCCTCTGTGTGCTGCCCTCTTCCCTGATCGAGGCAGTTCCTCTGGGCATCGTTTCTGGATGGGCTGGTGGGGATATTTTTTTTGATTGGCGGCTCGAAGGACAGATCCAGTGAGCGGGATGAACGTCTGGGCCACAGAGCGAGATAATTGGCTGCAGAGGCACGTTGGCCGCCACGTGGGGATTCGCGAAGCGTTAACAATTCCCATTGTAGAGCGCAAGGGGCCGAATGAAACAAGATCATCCAACCATCCTCATTACTGAGTCTGCTTGCGTGGACACCCAATCTAGCAACCAGCTGCTTGTCTGCCTCGTCCTGCAGCAAGAAGCTGCCTGATCAGCCAGTCCCAAGGAAAGACAAACGACAATGCGAGGATCCTGTTTCAAAAGGGAGCGAAATTCATGCCATGATCGCTAATTCTATGACTGGAGCTGGAAAGCAAAAATCATTGACAGTGCTTGCAAAATGCGAGGCTCTCTGAGGTCATCACCGTCATTGCAATCGCCTGGCAGACCGGCACCAAATGCATTAAGATAGGCCCGGTGAGCACCTTGATGATGGTCACCACGACATGCGCACTGTAGCAATTCCAAGGCAGCGTGTGGAACATGTCCCATGCTACCAGAAGGCTGTACGAAACCTCCGCGACTCCCTGGCAAGACTTCTTTGATGACCAGCGCAAGCACGCATTCAGTCCTTACGTATTCCTCACATCGATCACCCAATCAGCCCTCTTCTAAGGGAGATCTTGTCGACTCCCTGCACGCGAACACTCCACCTGGACGAAGCACGACATCTGCAATGTGTAATCACGCATGTCTCTGGAAGAAGACCTGGGGAGGTTGGGGCGTCGCCACACATGTAGGACACCAGCGCGGGGACACGTCCGAGTTACCAGCGCCTGGACTCCTCGCTGGGATCGTCTGATCTTCCCGTGCCCGACACGCTGGCACTCGAAGCCAAAAACGAAAGATGTCCACGACCCGCCTCGCCCCCCCCCCCCCTGCACACCGCGGCCGCCAGGCCCCCGTGGCCTGGGCGATCCCTGGGTGCCCCCGCCTCGCCGGGCCCTGCATGCCGCGGCCGCAGAGCCGCAACCGACTGGGTGATCCTGGGGAGTCCCGCCCCGCCCCGCCCTGCACACCGCGGACGCCAAGCCCCGACAGTCCGGGAGATCCCTGGGCTTCCCGCTTCACACGCCCTGCACACCGTGGCCGCCCGGCTCCTGAGACCCCGGCGAGCCCAATGAGGTCATCAAGAACAAGCATGTTCGCAGCTAGCAGACAACCATACCAGGGAGGAGTCACGGCGTGACGCCGTCAAGGCGTCACGACGTTGCGCTGTCCAGGGGCATCTAGAACACACGGACGGTGATGTACCCTGAGAGTGTGCCGCAAGACCATACATCGACCAACGGTGTCAAGAGCAGACGTAACGAATAGACCAGCATACACACCAAGAACACGCCCCCCCATTAAATGCATCAATCACACACATCCATATCATGCACCAAAAGCATAAGCCATCACCATGCAAACATAACAGGCACCAACGACATACATCAACCACAGTCACTAAAAGCATACAACAACACATACACACATAACATGAATCAGTAACAGGAGCGGTCTAGATTCAGATCTGTCACCAGAGCAGTGAGGAAGAGCAGACGCCACGACATCGAGAATATCAACGCCAAATATCGAGGCTGCACATTTGTGCTTGAAGGCCCCAATGCCTGGCAATGACAACTGGAGGCCAAAGGTGGCGAACCCTCTCCAATGCGATACCCAGCGGACCTTCTCTGTCTCATCACGCCTCTGCGTGCGTCGAATCCCCATCGAACTTCGAATCCGTGCCAAAATCATGCATACTCCACGTCGAATCCGCATCGAACCCGCGTCGGGTACAAAACAAATCCGCCATTTGTAAGACAAGAAAGGTCCTCCGAACATGAAACGTGGCCATTGCTCGAGTACATAGCCATGAGGTCAGGGCTCGCCCCCCCCCCCCCCCCACTTTCCATCACTGCGCGCCAGACGCCAATAGAGGCCTGGACTCCAGCGAGGCAAGACTGGTTGTGACCCACGACTCCGCCCACAACTTGCAACAGGCCGCTGGGCGAGGGCGAAGGGGGGGAGGCAGCAAGAGGAGGAGGAAGGATGATGAGGTAGAAAGTCGCAGCAGGACGACGCAGGAGGTGAGATGGAGGAGCAGAAGGAAGTCGAGGAGGAGAAGGCAAGGGTGATCAGGATGGGGGAGGGGGACGAGTATCAGACAGGGGCAGGACGGGGGAGGATGGTGGACATCCCCCAACCAAGGGGGTCCCAAGATGGATGAAATTTCCAGGAGGTCCCCGCGATGTCCCAAGGGGGCGGGCCTCAAGACGGCCTACGAGCGCCCTAAGACGGCCCAAGAGGCGCCCAAGACGGCCCAAGAGGGCCCCAAGAAGGGCCCAAGAGGAGCCCTGCAAGAGGGAGCACGAACCGAAAATCCGAGCCTTCCTCCCCGAGGGGCCCGCAAGAGGCCCCCAGACAGCCCATAAGAGGCCTCAAACCCGCCTCCAAGAGGCCCCGAGAGGCCTCCCACGAGATTCCAACGACCATCCACTAAACTTCTAACCTACAACCCAGGCGCGGTGGCGGGACTGGCCGTTGGCAGCTGGATGAATATCAATATGCATATATATATATATATATATATATATAGATATGTGTATGTACATATATATATATACACACGCATGCTTATATACACATATATATACACGTATAAATCATATATATGTGTGTATGCGTGTAGATACATACATGTCCGCGAACCCCCGCTTGTCGGGGGTGAAAAAGCGTGTGAGACATGCTGCTGTCCCCCTCCCCATCCTTTCCCCCTCCCCTTGGATCCAGAATGCAATTGTAACGGGGGAGGGGGGGACGAGCTCGTCAACGCACCCATGTGGCCTCCGGGGCCACCAAAAATGCCCCAAGGTAGCCCAATAGGGCCCAGGCAGAGCGCCAAGACAGGCGAAGAGGGCGCCACGACAGCCCTATAGGAGCCCCAAGATGGCCTAAAAGCGCCCCAAGACTGCTCAAGAGGCGCCCAAGACGGCCCAAGAGGGCCCCAAGAAGGGCCCAAGAGGAGCCCTGCAAAAAGCCCCAAGACGGCCCCAAAGAGGCCTCAAACCCGCCTCCAAGAGGCCCCCGAGAGGCCTCCCACGAGATTCCAACGACCATCCACTAAACTTCTAACCTACAACCCAGGCGCGATGGCGGGACTTGCCGTTGGCAGCTGGATGAGTATATATATATATATACATAGTTAGATATACACGTACGTGTCTTTACATATATATATATATATATGTAGATACATAAATGTCCGCAGACCCCCGCTTGCGTGACACATTTGGCTGTCCCCCTCCCCCTCCTTTCCCCCTCCCCTTGGATCCAGAATGCCGTTCTACGGGGGAGGAATGGGGGACGAGCTCGTCAACGCACCTCTGTGGCATCGGGGGCCACCAAAATGCCCCAAGGCAGCCCAATGCAGCCCAATAGGGCCCAGACAGAGCGCCAACACAGTCGAAGAGGGCGTCATGACGGCCCTAGGGGCCCCACGACGATTAAAGATGGCTTCAAGATGGCCCACAGGGCCCCCAAGACAGCCCAGAAACGCCTACAGAGGACCGCCGAGAGGGCCCCAAGAGGCCCAAATCATGGCACATTCGCATGTTACGTATTGACAGCGAACAAACACGACGGCCCAAGTGGCCCCCAGGATCGTCCCAAGAAGGCCCCTCAGATTTATCCAGGAGGCTCCTGACCCAAGATGTAACTTCCACGGTCGTCTCGAACACTCACTCCTTGTGCGGGTCGGCGGGGACACCGTAAGCCACTTGCATGTGTTTATATATATATATATATATATATATATATATATATATTCATCTATATATATATACACACAATGGAATCACGTCGATTACAAGCGATCGGGCAGGCGGCTGCTGGCCGTTGTGAGATCCTCTTGGGACTGTCTTGCAGCCTCTTGGGACCACCTTGGGCCCTTATGGGCTTCCCGATGCCGTCTTCGAACTTTCTTGGGACATCTCTGGGCGCTCTTTGGCCCTGTTCGGGCGCTATCTTGGCCCGTCTTGATCTCCACGGGCAGCAATCTTGCGGTTGTCCTGGGCTGGTTGGGGACCATCGTTTGGCTCTGTTCGGGCGCTACTTGGGACATCTTGGGGGCTGGGTGCCCTTGGGGAGCCTGTGATTGGTCTATGGGGGGAGTCTTCGGGGATCGTCGAGTCCTCGGGTTGGCTCTTGGGGGTCTTAGGGCCGTCTGAGGGACGCCTCTGGGGGGTATCACGCACGCAGAAGAGCCCCAGCACCAACGCTACGAACAATTTTCAACCTTGGACATTGAATGATCTCCCTTCTGAAACATTCCTGGGACTTCTTGGCCAAATCTGCCGTACGTGTGGATTCGTCAGTGGGTTGCCTTCTGTAGGTTCGGGGACCTAAAAACAGGTCCCTGGAGGGCGCTCATCTGTGAAAATACACGTCCGCGTTCCGGGCATATTTGGTTACCGTTTTGCATTTACGTGGTTCAGCGTGTTTTGCTGCGTTCTGTTTTAGCACTTTCAGGCCCGTCGCTGTGGATCTTCAATTGTCCATCGATTTTCCTTTCTTGTCAAGACTGCTCCTTGTCTTCACTGCCGTCTTCGCTCCCGCATTCCCGTCCCTGCCGCCTCCCGTTCCTCCCGCTCCGCGCGCCGAGCGCAGAGCAAACAACGCTCCATAAACGCAAACACCGTTCCAACACCAGCGCGGAATAGGCCCGGAGGCCCCGCGACCAGCCAGCAGCGACAAGTAGCGAGGAGCAGGAAAGAACCGAGGGCACGGTAGACGGCAGTTTTTAAACAGCGCAATCAAACTTAAATTGCTGGATTTGGGGAAAGCTGTTGACCGGATTCAGCCTGAGGGGATAATGCACGCCTGACGCCAACTTAGGATTCCCGTACCTACAACTGATATTGTTGAGGCAATATGCACAGCACGTGCGTAAGTTTGTTTTCAAAGACGGGCATGCCAAGTCCTTCCAACGACCTCACACTGCATGGATAGTACATGGCTGCCCGCTCTCCTCTTTTGTTTGTCATCGTGATGTCGGTGTTGATGGAGGCCGCGGACGCCGAGATGGAGACAGACATGCCACAACGATGCCCATGATCTTACGTCATCACAACGGATGCATAATACGCTGACGACACCATGTTGAGATCTGAAGACGGGGAACGCCTCCAACATCACCTGAATGCCGTGGCCAAGATCGGAACAGCATTCGGCTTGGAGCTCTACGAGGGAAAGTCCGTGCTCCTACAAATCAGGTCTTCACCAGTTATTCACAGGCCTGTTTGGAAGCCCATTCTATGCAAAGATCGCTCCATGTCGTTGAGCGGCTTTATGAACGTAGACGAGAAACCCAAAGCAGAGTTGACAAGACGCCATGGGGAAACCAACCATGTCGTTCAATAACCCAGTGCTGCATAGAGACACGCGAACGTAACCCCGCAACGGAAGATACAGACTTTGGAAGCGTGCATGTTCTCCATGT